TAAAATATAAGAGGAATGGAGGGAAGATGAAAGAAAGCATATTGTTTTCTTTCATTTCCTTTCCTTTATCTCTTTGTTGGATCCCTTATACCAAACATATCCTAAGTGACTAAGTGATGAGAGAGAGACAAAAATTTTTTTTTTTTTCTAAACTCAATGTTTGAGAATAATAGTTATTTTTTGTTACTCCCTCTATCCCAAAGTCATAGACATTTTTTAAATAAGAATTTTTTTAAATAATAGTTTTTTTATATTTTAAGAAAAATAAATATTGTTTTCCTTATCTTCTGATTTTAATTATTCATTCTATCATGATTTAAGTCTTATTATTTTTGTTTCTTTTTTAAGGATAATACAGGAAAAAATAGAAATTATCCCTAAATTCTTAATATAAAAATAAAATAAAAAAATATCTATTATTTTGGGATGGAGAAAATAGATTAATATTAATAAAATAAAACAAAAATGTTATTCTTATAACAATACAAGGTGTAGTAAAATTGAACTTGATTCAAATATCTAATCAACTCACTTGTTATAAGTCAGGTCTTGAATTTAAGGTGTTGACCTAAAACTTAGTATGACCTAAATTGAAATTATTTGAATTCGATTGGTTTAGGTTAGGGCTAGGTTAGCTTAACTCAAAAAGGTCGGGTTAAAATTAATTTATTTTTTAATTTAAAACAATGATTAAATATATTTTTAATTTTAATTTTTAAATAAAATAAAAAATAAATAAAAAATATTATTTATTTATTTATTATATTATCATATTTAAGATTAATTTAATAGACTTTTTAATTAAATAATTAATTAATATTAAAATTTTTAAAGAAAAATAGAACAAATATTGAAAACTTTCAATTTTAATCTTAGTTTTTAAAAGGTTAAAATACCAACTTAGTCTCTCAACTTTTAAATTTGTATCAAAATTATCCCTCAACTTCAAAAATTATCAAAATTATCTTTAAACTTTAATTTTTAATACCAAAAAAATCATTTTGTTAACAAAAGTGTTACCTAATTCATTATTTTGCCACAAAATAAGTTCTTTTTCAAAATATTAATGACAAGTAAAATTAAATAGTTATATTTTACTATTGTTACATATTTTTATTTACATATTAAATTGATATATAATTAAAATTGAAAAACTAAATTGGTATTTATAATTAAAGTTTAAGGACTAAATTGGTACTTGTCTTCAAAGTTTAAAGACTAAATTGGTATCATTTTCAAAGTTTAAGAACTATTTTGGTATTTGAAATCAAGGTTTAGGGATAATTTTGATACTTTTTGAAGTTAACAGAAAATTTTGATATCAATTTAAAAGTTGAGAAACTAAATTGGTATTTTAACCATTTTTAAAAAGTTGAGACCTCTCAACCCAATTTTAGACCCAATCCAAGATCTGTTATATGGGTCAGACCGGTTGGTCATGAATCTATCCTTTAACTAAAACCCAAAATAACCCAACTCAATAAATATCTGAAGTCCAAAGCACATCTCAATCCGATCCAACCCAACGCAACCTATTTGCGAGGTGCAAGGTTACCAGGAAAATATAAGCGGAACATGAGAAGAGAAATAGAATAAGGATATTTGTATTGTGAGGTGTGATTAAATAGTGAAAAGGGAAAACCCAAAATGACCCAACCCAAGGTATATCAATGTTCGTTTTGATTCAAGATCATCACAAAATATTACTGAAAATTTCAAACTTTCTTAAACATTGATCGGAAACTTTGGATATGAATAGAGCATTGAAGCCTGCAATTATAATGGCTAATAAGTACTTCGAATGGACCTATCCCCTTGTAGAGTGCACTGTTTGAAAAAACTGAAAATTGTTTTACAGTAAAATTATTTAAATGTTTTCAAATAAATAATATAAAAATAATATTAAAAACATTTAAATAATTTTACAAAACAAACTGTAAACAATTCCAACCCATTCTATAAAACAGCTTTCTCTTAAAAAAAAAATTTCACTTGTTTTAGATATGAGGCAACATTTATCAATTGTTGGATTCTAACGAACAGATATAAAAGATTGAATTATAAAAATTTATTTAACATCTAATATCAGTTATATATCAACTATATTTAAATAATTAATTTAAACTGAACTTGTGTGTTCAGACATTTTTTTAAGAAAATCATAGATTCATTGAAACTCAAATTTAGTACATCAAACAAATCATGATCAGCCCCAGATTAAGAAAGCAAATATCGCAGCTATACCTATATATAGCACTAATTACTGAAGATTTGCCCAGGATAATTAAGCACATAGAACCCAAGATCGGAAAAAAAAAGGAAAAAGGAAAAAAAAAACATACACGTAGAACCAAGCTATAACTAGTAGCTGGTCTGAATGTCATCTGGGTTTTCATTTTCAAGGGTAGGCGCCTATGAAATGCTTACATGCAAATTCAGGATGAAGCAACTATGATTTGGTCTAGCAAACTAGTCTTCCCTAGACATGCTTTCATTTTGTAGCTTCTGCTTAGGAACAAGCTCGAAACCATAAATCTTTCCAGCAATCTAGAGGTATATTGGTGGTGGATACTAAATGATATATGTAAAGAAAAAAATACCTGTCAATCTTGTCAACCTTATCTCTTAAAGATTAAAAGAAAAATCATCATAAAACTACATCGTTTCAATAAATTTTTATTGAGAAAGACTAAATTACCTTATTTTTAAAACATGCATTAAGGTGATTTTTATCTTTTTTTCTCCTAATTTTTTGGAAGTAAAGCAAACAAACACTAATCTCATATTCATATATATATATATATATATTTTTTCCAGTCGGCAAAAAAAACTTTTATTTGATCAGCGACTACAAGGGCTACCCAAAACTCATTTACAAATATAATTAAATTAAGATTCAATGTAAATCATTTCAAAATCTCAGCCTCTAAACAGGTCTCATACAATCCCAAACAAAGAAGGAAACCTCTATTTTCTTCAAATCGTGATCTAACCATCTCTTTCGCACATAAGGCTGCAAGTTGACACCACCCAGAATAGTCGAAAGCTAACCGCTGATTTCTACCTTTAATCCACTACTCATAAGATCTCACTTGAACTAAATCAAAAATTCTACTGATGACATCCCACATACCATCTCTACCGTCTCGGAAAATTATTTCGCTCCTTGACAACCATAAGGATCATCAACATGCTAACATCACCACAGCCCTCCCTTCCCATAAACTAGAGTCAGCAAAAAACCGTATGCAAATTAAGAAGCTGCAACATGTTCTCGAAACGCCAAGTTCATTCTCCACTAACCAGCCACTCTCATCAATAAATTAAGCATAAGCTTTTCACCCGTAATAAACAAATGGGTCTTAATTAGTTTCGTTATGGATGCCACATAGCGCACACCTTTAGTATACTAAATGCGTGCAATTTTTTTTAGATTGGCGTGATCCATGCCAAGATGATTAGCATTTGGAAAGGTTTTGAAGTTGCCATATTTAGAAAGCTAACGTGAAGGCAGACATCATGAAATCAAGGTCATGGGCACTGCATTTTTTTGAGGAGCCTCCGCCAGTGGTTTCTGCTGCCTTCTTTAATGATAACTTAGGAGTATATATATGCCGTTGCTTAACGTAGGCGGTGGATCCAATTGATTTAGCAGTGACTTTGCACATTTCGTCGTAAGCCAACTGGATCCAATGCAACAGGTTCGGTTCCCTTTGCAAAAAAAAAAAGAAAAAAAGAAAAAAAAGAAAAAGGAACTCTTGCAAAAATATTAAAATAATAATAATAATAATAATAATAGAGGTATATTATCCATGAGGTTTTTTTTACATGTGTTATAAGGATGCGTTCAATATATTTTTTAATTATTAAGTTATATAAAAAATAAATTTTAACTTTAATTTTAACAATTAACTAATTAAATTAAGATATGTGTCATTAATATTGAAATTAATTTTAATTTTTTTATAATTTAATAACTAAAAAATATATTAATTATACTTTTAATTTATACACTAAAAGTATAAGATAAAAAAATCCTTTTTTAAAATTAGTAACTTTCTTTTATATTATGAGAAAGGAATACAAAATTCATAGGAAAAGTTGGTAATACATCACTTATTTAATTTCATTTATTTTAGTTTTGTCATATATATATATATATTGATTTTTTTTTTAACATGATATATATATATTGATTTGACAGAAAAAACAGTCCTAACTTTCAACCAGATGTATAAACCTTAGCTTCCCCATATATATATAGATGGTATATATAAGGCAATTAGTTATTAATTTTTTTAGGGAATTTATTTAAAAAGTCACTTTATAATTGATATTTTTAAAAACTAATCATTCATTTAAAAATTTTATTTATGTAAATTGTGCATGTTAATTTTTAAATTGATTTAATATTTATAACTTTTTAATAAAAGAAATTTTATTTATTGATATATGTTTAATAGTATTGAATTTTGTATAATCAAGAAAATGGTTAGCCCTATTAAAATAATTTAAAACTTAAAATGTAAAATCTAAATAAATAAAATTTTCAATTCAATAATTAGTTTTTTAAAATATTAATTAAAAAATAAATTTTTATCTATGTCTTGTAAAAAAATTTTGAGAATATAGCTTGTAAAATATTTGTTATTTATGTGTTAGAAATTGAAAAGAAGGAGAAGTATTTGAAGAAAGATTTATTGCTTTCTTAAATAATATTCTATGCACAATGACCTATATATAGGTATTTACAAAAAAAATATTCTAAGATATAAAATATTTATAATAAGTGTGAATATAATTTAAATTATTATGTTCACATCTTAACATCGCCCTCAAATTCAAGGTGGTTGTGAGGAAACCAACTTGATTTTGGAAAGAAGAGTACGAAAGTGTCTAGAAAAATGAGACTTGGTGAAAAGTCTACTAGTTGATCAGTGGAGCCAATAAAAACCAAATGAACAGTTCCTTGTATAACATGATGGCGAAAAAAGTGACAATCAACCTCAATGTGTTTAGTGCATTCATGGAAAACATCATTATGAGCAATATACATGGCATTCTGATTGTCACAATAAAGATTAGTAGTAGGTGGTTAAGAAACACCCATATCTTTTAGTAACCAATGTAAATTAAGTAACTTTGATGTGGTGTCTCCAAGTGCTCAATATTCAGCCTTTGTACTAGAATGTGATGGAACTGTTTGCTTCTTGCTATGCCAAGAGATTAAAGGATCACCAAGAAAAAGGCAATATCTAGTGGTGGATTTACGATCATTAGAGTCTCCAGCCCAATCAGCGTCAAAGTAAGCATGAAGTTCAAGAGATGAATGAGCAAAAAAGTGAAGGCCATGAAACATGGTACATTTAATATACCGAATAATGCGAAGTATTGCTACATAGTGAGTGGAGCGAGGCATAGCCATAAACTGGCTAACAACATGAATTGCAAAAGCTATGTCTAGTCGTGTTGTAGTGAGATAAATTAAACTTCCAACCAACTGTCTATAGCAAGTAGGATCAGCTAATGGAGAACCATCCATGGATGTTAGTTGAACATTTGGCTCAAGAGGAGTAGATGCAATCTTACTGTTAGTGAGTCCAGCTTTAGAGATAAGATCAGAAGCATATTTTGTTTGGGAGAGAAAATAACCATCATCAGAAAAGGTGACCTCAAGTCCCAAGAAATAGCTCAAAACACCAAGATCTTTCATCTCAAACTTATGATTGAGAAATTGCTTAGATCATGAATACCTGAAATATCATCCCCAATAATGATCATATCATCAACGTAAAGAAGTAGTAGAACCATACCATGATTAGTCTTGCGTATGAATAGTGCAATATCATAAGGACTAGAAGTAAAACCAAATTCACTGATGGTGGTACTAAACTTAGCAAACCAGGCTCGAGATGCTTGTTTCAAACCATACAAAGCTCGCTTCAATCGACAAACTTTGTTTGGAGGATGCTCAAGTCCAGGAGGTGGTTTCATGTAAACTTCCTCTGTAAGATCACCATTTAGAAAGGTATTTTCACATCCATCTGAAACAATTTCCATCTTTTAGCAATAGCAATAACAATCAAACTATGAACTGAAGTATGATGAGCAACAGGTGCAAAGGTCTCCTCATAATCAATCCCATATTCTTGAGTAAATCCTTTAGCATCCAAACGAGCCTTATAATGCTCCACGGAACCATCAAACTGAGTTTTAATCTTGTACACCCATTTACAACCTACTAGAGGCTTTTCAGCAAGAAGATCAACTAAATCACATGTACAAGTTTTGTCAACAGCTTGTAATTCATCTTGCATAGCTTGCTGTCAAAAAGGGTTAAAAGAGGCCTCTTGGTAAGACTGAGGCTCATGTAAGGAGGTAATAGTAAGAAAATAATGATAATCACGAAGATAGCTAGGAAAATTTCTTACCCGAGTAGGATGACTTGAAGGTGGATTAAGGATCTCATTTTTAGGCTCAATATCAACGGGGTTAGATCCAAGAGGTGTTAGAGAAGGGGTAAGGGAAGAAGACTCAGCATTATCTAATGTATTACCAATAGGCAGAACATCTTTTATAGAATTAGGTGGACCATGTGGAAAGGCATCATAGAGCTCATCAAATGTATCTGCAACAGAGTCACTGGGAAAAAGCTCAATAGAAAGGTTAGTAAAAAGTGGAGATTGATCAAAAGATGACACCTAGAAGTTTGATAATGAGGAAAACATAGTGTGTTCCCAAAAGACAACACGATGCAAGACTCGAAGTTTTTGTGACACAGGATCCCAACAACTATATCCTTTATGTGTAATCCCATAACCCAAAAACCAACATAATCGAGCTTTAGGCTGTAGGTTATTATGTTCATGAGGTGGAAGAAGAACAAAACAAGCACAACCAAAAACCTTAAGAAGATCATAAGCAGGAGGAATACTGTGCAAACATTCATATGGAGACTTATTATTGACGATCGACGATGGAATTCGATTAATGAGATAAACAGCTGTACGAGCAACTTCACCCCAAAATCACTCTGGACAAGAAGACAAAATGAGCAAAGCATGAACAAAATTAAGGATGTGTTTATGTTTACGTTTGGCTCACCCATTTTGTTCAGAAGTGTAAGGGCAAGATTGTTGTGTCAGTGTACCCTATTCTTTCAAAAAGGATTCAAGTTTAGTACTAGAATATTCAGTGGCATTGTCAATTCTCAAACTTTGATAATTTTAGATACCTGGGTTTTGACCATAGTAGCAAAATCAATATAAATTTGTGGTAATTTAGAGCGATTTTTCATAAGATATCCAGGTAAAACGAGTATGATCATCAATAAATAACACAAAGTACCTGGATCCCCCCATGGTAGGCGTCGAAGATGGACCCCAAACATCAGAATGCACGAGATCAAAAGAAGTAGCAGAAAGAGAATGACTACTAGTAAACAATAAAGCTAGTTGTTTTGTAGATTGACATGACACACAATTTAATGATTCATTCGGAACAAATCCTAATAAACCATGAGAGATAAGAGGACAGAGTTTACTGATTGAGATGTGTCCAAGTCGTGAGTGCCATAAATGAAGAGGAGAAATATTAGTAGCAACACAGGCATGGAAGATTTGTTGATATGAAATTTGTAAGGACTCTAATTCAGCAGTACAAAGTAGGGTTTGGATGATCGGTCATTTGGAAATGATGATGTATCCATTTTATGATGAGGTATATGCAGATAATTGAGCTCAAATAGATGCCCCACCTTGCGACCAGTTCCAAGAAGTTGTCCTGTCTGTGGGTCCTGCACATGAGAACCATGAGTAAAGAAAGTTCTTTCAAGGCCAAGATCAAATAACTAACCAATAGATAAAAGATTATAACTAAGTTTTGGAACCAAGAAAGCGTTTGGTAAAGTGAATGAATTTGTAGAAATATTGCCGATGTGACTAACATTCATAGGGGAGCCATCAGCAGAATAAATGTTAGGAAAAGAATTATTTGGTGACATTGAAGAGAAATAAGCAGTAGTTGAAGACATGTGATTACAACAACCAAAATCAAAATACCGAGGTTTAGTACTTGGAGCAGCAGATAAGGCAGTAGGGGCATTAAGAAGATTTACTATCACATGTTTTAGAGATTCAGGGTTGACAATAAGTTAGTCTATCACCTCTTTGGCAACCATTGCAACAGCAGGATGAGTTATAGTTCTCTCAAAACTCGCCATAGAATTAGTAGAACTCATAATACTGAAAAAAATCTCTAAAAATATGAAGAAATAGATGCCAAGATCGAAACTGTAGAAGAAGAGAACCCAACTACAAAGTTTCAGATTCGGAATAGATCTGAGAACCCAACTCAGTAACCAAGCAGTAATAAAAGAACAACCAGAAGCTTATTGCTCTGATACCATGTTAAAAATTGAAAAGAAGGAGAAGTATATGAAGAAAGGTTTATAGCTTTCTTAAACAATACTGTATCTATAATGACCTATATATAGGTGTTTACAAAAAGAATATTTTAAAGTATAAAGTATATAAAGAAAATATTCTAAGGTATAAAATATTTATAATAAGTATGAATATAATTTAAATTATTATATTCACACTTAACATTATATATATAACCTCAACGTTGTATCCCTCTAATCACAAGGTTTTGTCAATAAATAACCCTTAAACTCATACTAGCTGGTATTTATAAGAACCTTGTTCAAAAATTTGACAATGCTAGTCTCATACAAGCCCACAAAATATTTATATAAACCCTTCTCTCTTTTTGTCATCTTCATCCTTCTGATCAATTCATGCATTGTTTAATAATGGACACTGATATTCAAGCCTCTTCTCAACTTCACATTTTCTTCCCTTCCTTTCTTATCTCAAGGCCACATGATTCCAATTTTGGATATGGCCATTCTGTTCGCGAGGCGAGGTGTGAAGTGAACCATAATCACCACTCCTCTCAACGCAACTCTCCTCTCCCATCGTATCCAAAGAAGAAAGTACTCTGGCATCCCAATTGATAACAATATCCTTAAGTTTCCTTGTGCTGTGATCGGATTACGTACGGTAGGGAATCGAAAATACTCATGCACTCACTTCTCCTGAAGAAAACTTTCAGTTTTTGAAGGCCCCTAACCATGCTACAAGGTCCCCTTGAGGAACCACTGCAAGAATGCAAACCAGATTGCTTGGTGACCGACATGCTCTATCCTTGGGCTACTGCTTCGGCAGGGAAATATGGTATTCCCACGTTGGTGTTTTATGTATTTAGTATCTTTTCGTTGTGTATAACAATGTGCCTCGAGATGTACCAGCCACCTAGAAATATTGAGTCTGATTCTGAAACTTTTGTGGTGCCTAACTTTCCGGGTAATATCAAGTTGACGAGAAACCAAATGGGTTCAAAAAGATACTCCGATTTGCTGATGGCATCAAGAGAATTAGCAATGAACAGTTATGGCATACTTGTCAACAGTTTTTATGAGCTGGAAGGGACTTATGCTGATCACTATAGGAATGAATTTGGAGTGAAGGAGTGGCTCATCGGACCAATTTCCCTTTACAATAGGGGAATTGAAGATAAAGCTCACAGAGGGAAGGAAGCATCAATTGATGAACACGAGTGCTTGAAATGGCTCGATTCCAAAGAACCAAATTCAGTTGTTTACATCTGTTTTGGAAGCTTGACCCAATTCAACTGTGCTCAGTTGAAGGAGATTGCAATGGGGCTTGAAGCTTCAGGTCAGCAATTCATCTGGGTTGTGAGAAAACACAATGAGGAAGAACAGGATTGGTTACCAAAAGGATTTGAGCACGAAATGGAGGGGAAAGGGTTAACAATAAAAGAATAGGCACCACAACTATTGATTTATTAGCATCAAGCAACCGGGGATTTGTGATACATGGTGGATGAAATTCAACCATAGAAGGTGTTTGTGAGGCTGTTCCTATGGTCACATGGCCAGTAATGGCAGACCAATTTTACAATGAAGAGTTGGTGACTGAGGTTTTAAAGATTGGGATCCCTGTTGGTGTCAAAAAGTCAGTTGCGATGGTGGGAGGTTTTGTGAAGAGAGAAGCAATAGAGAAGGGTCTAAGGGAGATAATAAGTTGAAAAGGTTTAGGAAATGCGGAGGAGAGCCAAGGAATTGAGGGAAATGGCAAGAAAGACTACTGAAAGTGGCGGTTCCTCAGACTCTAATTTAAATGCTCTAATCGAAGAATTGTGCTCACATGGGCACCAAGTACACAGAAATTGACATGAAATAAACACTCTCATATATTTCATTCAATTTGGTGTTCATTCTTCAATTATACACTGATTTACTTATCTGTATTAGTATTTTTTCTTCAAAATAACTATGCCTTTTGCTCCAAAAGAAATGTACTTGAAGAACCTCTCTCTTTGTCTTCTTCCTCATTTTTTTGTTCCCTTTGGAAAGAATAAGGTTTTAATAATTATAAGAAATGGTACAAGCGGTATGGCATTCCATAAACAATGATATATAAATTTAGGTCTCAAGCCTGATTCCAATAATCCTTTTTTAGTATTTACAAATAAGGTGTCTTTGAGTTGGTTCCGTACATCTCAATACTATATATATATATATATATTTTTTTTTTGACATTATAGAGTAATGATAGGAAAGTTGAAAATTTGGACTAACAATTTGGGATCAATAAGATCAATAACGTGGCGTACGTCATATCATTAAATTAATAGATATATATAATATTATAATATTAAAAAAATAAAATTAATTATTAAATAATATAAAATAATTTACTTTTTAATATTTTAAAAGACATGACTTATTCCATCTCATTAGTCCTAAATTTTGATCTTAAATTTTCATCATATTTATCATTATTTGGTATTTTAAGAGCACACCCTTATATTGATTTAATGCATTTAAAAAAGTTATTTTTTTTAGATGTTGAGACCCACTTAAAATGTCTTTTAACTTATTTGGTTAACAGAAATATGACATGACATAACTTTTAGTCTATTCTAGCATCTATTTTAAGTTTTATTATCCATGTTATTAAAACAAGTTTAAAAACTGTAAGGTGGACTGACTTAATGGCCTATAATTGACCAAAATGCAGGTTTTTTTTTTTTTTTTTTTTTTTTTTTT